GTGTGTGTGTGTGTGTGTGTGTGTATATATATATATATATATATATATATATATATATATGATTTTAATACCATTGATTATGCTACTATTATTTACTTCAGGATTTTTACACTGGCTTTCCTCCCTACAGTAATCTCCTCATGGTTTTAGTAATAATGCCCAGTTCAATTTGATTTATATGTGACTAAGTTTTAGCCACTTGACCATTGAACCACTAGATGACCATTCCATGTATTCACCTAATTCCTTATTGAACCATCTGTAGCTAAGATCAGTGTCAGTTTCTGTTGGTACATCTATTACATGACTTTTGGTGTGTTGACCAGTCCTGACCTTTTCCTCCACATCCTGCTGTCAATCTTTATTGTGTTGAACTTAACACCATGTGTTTGGACCTGCTCAGTACTCTTGATGTTCTCCATTGGACATAGCTCCTCTATATCTTTCTTGGCCTCAATGACTCGTAACTTAACCAATTTCAGTTTTCATATTACTGCTTAGTTGATTTATCAGGGAACACACACTCACCAGTTGTACAGCTTTTCTGTCAAAAGTAATTGACATAAATATAGATATTCTGGTTACACAAAAAAAATTGTAAGCTCTGACACTTGTTAAACTTTGTAATGGTTACAAAAAATTTAAGATTTTAATCCAGAAGAAATTGAAAATCTGTCTTGTGAATTATTAATAATAATTTAACTCATTTTTTTAATAATCATATTGTTCCAAGTAGTTTGGAGGTCATTAAAGATGAAGATTTAAAAATAATTTTGGAAAAAGGTAGCATGTTTAGAATTCTAAAGAAGACAAAAAAACTGAAATATTAAAATGTTTAGCAAAAATGTTGATGATTATGTTATCAAAATGAATAATGAAAAATCTTATCCTCCTTGTTTCTTGTTTGAGTGGAAATCATTTTTTAATTCATTTTATAAAATACATTGTTAAATGTTAATTATTTTATCAAAATGAATAATGAAAAATCTTATCCTCCTTGTTTCCTGTTAGTGGAAATCATTTCTTAATCCATTTTATAAAAGACATTAAATATATTGAATATGTCTAAATACAAAACAGACAATGCGTTTCAAGAACAATTTATTACCCTTATTGATAGAGCAGGTTGTAATTTTGGTTTTATATGTAAGAAAGTTTATGCATAAATTCTATAAAATTAATACCACTAAATTATTTATGAAAAGTACTGTAAATAAAAATACAGTTATCATTAACTTAAAAAATGGAATATAAATATAGATTCTGCATATTTCAATTTACCCTTCTTTTATGCAGTTACAAAACTCCATGAAATATCTATTAAATCTAGATTTATTACAAATTCCATAAATACTGTTAATAAACCAGCCACTATTATATTTAATAGAATTATAGATGTTGTATTTGTTAAAAGAAAATTTTTGTCAGGAGATGATTTGGATCATTATTTCTGAATTATAAAAAAGTGTGCCAGTTTTGAAATGTTTATTTACTTTAAATTTCCTGCAATCAGCCATTTCTGTTTTTTCATATAATTTTATTGCTGTGTACACTATAATAGATTTAAAATATCTGTCTATAGTCTAATAATTTAATTGGTCAATTTTAAGGTTTGAACACAGTTATTTTTAAATACATGTTTACAAAAAATCATTGCAAAAATGTACTTAATTTTTGTGTACAATAACTGTGTTGTTTTTTAATGAACAAATATTTAAACAGGTAATTGATATTCCTGTGGAAGCTAATTTTCATTAAAATTTGGCTAATCTGTACTTTTATGAATGTAATTTTTTTAAACAAATAAAATTTATATGCCTTTTATTTTCATTATACTGAAGATATAATTTTCATTAGTAATTTAAATTTTGATCATGCTCAAATCTATAACAAAACTTTTGTTAGAAAGTAGTAGGAACAGCAATCATTGTGCATATTAATTAGATTTAGATATTGTTTTTATGGAAGTCAGAGATGGGAATAACTTTCTCATCCTTGGTCTATCCACCCTAAACAGTGTAGTTCAACAAACCTTATTAAAAGGAATAGTAATTTTTCAATAAAAAATATATTTAACTCTTTTTTTTTAACAATAGTACTTTATTTATAGATAACATTCAATGGTTAGCAGATAA